TGTCATTGACCAAGCTAGCTCAGAGCTGGCTGCAGAATGAGCAGAACCCCTGACACTCCTGTTTGTATCTGTCAGCCAGGACTCACTGATTGGAGCAGGTTAACAGCCCCAATCAGGGAACTCATTCTATGAGGTTCCCTGGCTGACCTTGTTCCAATCACTACAGGATTCACAAGGTACTTGCTGAGAGAATGTTTCCCAGCTGGGGAATCTAGGTCGTGGGTTACAAAATCTTAAAATAAGGAAATGGGTATTTAGAACTGAGACAAGAAGAAAATTCTTCACTGAAAAGGTTATGAATCTTTAGAATTTGCAACATCATAGACCTGCAGATGCTTAGTTACTGATTATATTAAGACAGATGTCAATGAATCTTTGGATATAAAATGGAATCAAAGGATATAGGGTTAGTACAAGATGGAGTTGAATTAGCAGATCAGTGAGTTAGCTGAAATGGCTAAATGGCCTATTCCAGTTCCTATTTATGCTCTTGTGTTGCCATTTAGATTGGATAATAAAGAATTTTGGGGAGGCAAGACTGAAGCCTTTGTCTTTACATCCCATCTCCACATACAACTTCTGCCTCCTGTTAACACACAAAATCACCCAACTTCCCAGAAATCATCCATTTAACATTCCTATAAAACCTAATCTGTCAGGCATCTGGAGTTCAAGTATCATGCATACAAAGATGTGTATGTTTATGGTGAGAGATGTTCTGGCCGTGTCTGTCCATATAACACACAATCCACTATAAATGCTGAAATTAAGACTGTATTCACTCAGACTTTTTTCTATCCTGATGCTATTCTTCTGCACGAGTATTTGCAGGTAGCCCACCTGTTAATGTGGTTTTACTTCTGAGATGCTGCAGGCCCACCACTTACCTATTCTGAACTTCTTGAATCTATTTTGAGAATAACGCTCAATTAATATTCTTTAAACATTCATTCATTCACAGGATGTGGGCTTGACCAGCTGGGCCAGCATTTTTTCCCTCTATTCAATTGTGGGATGTGGGCATCACTGGCAGGCCAGCATTTCTTACCCACCCCTAGCTGCCCTTGAGAAGGTGATGGTGAGCTGCCTTCTTGATCCGCTGCAGTCCTCTGGCTATGGGATGACCCACAATGCTATTAGGCATAGAATTCCAGGATTTTGACCCAGCAACAGTGAAGGAACAGCGATATATTTCCAAGTCAGGATGGTGAGTGGCTTGGAGGGGAACTTGGAGGTGGTGGTGTTCCCATATGTCTGATGTCCTTGTCCTTCTAGATGGAAGTGGTCGTGGGTTTGAAAGGTGTCCAAGGCTAGCTACTGTAGTTCTTAAACCACTGCAGTACACTGGGTGTAGGTACACCCACAATGCTTTTAGGGAGGGAATTCCAGGATGAAATTTGTAGCATCACTTCCTCCAATAAGTTGCTTAAATTGTCCACCTTTATTCACATCTGGGATGTGGTAGGAATGCAGAGTTTAGATTCGATTCATTAGTTGTGGAACCACTTAATTCTGTTGACCCCCTTGCTGCTTGTGTTATCTGGTACACAAGTAGTCCTACCTGGTAGCTTCACCAGTTATCACCTCATTTTTAGCTACGCCAGGGGTTGTACCTGGCATGGCCTCCTGCACTCTTCAATGAACCAGGGCTGATCCTCTGGTTTGGTGATAATGGTAGAGTTGGGGACATGTGGGCCATGAGGTTGCAGATCGTGTTGAAATACAATTCTGCTGCTACTGATGGCTCACAGCACTTCGTGGATGCCCACCCTTGAGCCTCCAGATCTATTGAAATCTATCCAGTTTAGCACACTGGCAGTACCACGCAAGATAATGGAGGGTGTTTTTAATTTGAAGACCATCTTTACCTTCACAAGGACTATGCAGTGGTCACTCTTATCAATACTGTCATAAAAAATGTGTCTACAAAAGGCAGATTGGTGATGAGGAGGTCAAGTAGGCTTTTCTCTCTTGTTGGTTCTCTCACCATCTGCCTCAGACCCATTCTAGGTCTTTAGCAATGGACCATTTTGGTCAGTAGTGGTGTTGCTGAGCCACTCTTGGTGATGGGCATTGAAGTCCACTACCCAGAGTGCATTCCATACCCTTGCCACTCTGTGATTCCTTCAATGTGGAGTAGTACCAATTCGTCATCCGTGAGGTGTGATACATAATAATAAGCGAGAGTTCCTTTCCCATGTTTGACCTGATGCTATGAGACTTCCGGGATACAATGATTCCACTATCATTATTAAGGGCTTCCAGAGCAACTCGCTCCTAATTGTATAACACTGAACCAGCATTTCTACTGCGTCTGTCCTGCCAGTGGGACAGGAATGATGAAGTGATGTCTGCAACACTGTCTGTAAGATATGATTCATGAGTATTGACTATGTCTGCCTGTTGCTTGACTAGGTTGTGAGTCAGCTCTCCCAACTTGGAACTAGATTCCAGAGGTTAGTAAGGAGGACGTTGCAGAGTTGACAGGGTTAGAGTGATGTCAGGTGGTCCATTCAGCTTCATTCCTTTGAGACATTGCAGCGGTTAGATACAACTGGCTGACTTGCGAGGTCATTTCTGAATCAATTACAGTGCTGCAGGTCTGGCAAAACCAAGGAACAATAGCAGATTTCCATGTGAAAAGGCCACTGGCGAACCAGATGGACAATCGACAATGATTTCATGGTTGTCATTGAACCTTTAATTCCAAATATTTTTTGATTCAAATTCCACCATCATCTGCAGTGAGATTCAAATCTTGTGTTCCAGGGCATTACTTAAGTTGCTGGATTGCCTCACCCTAAACACTTTAAATACTTATTCCACATTTGACATTCCCCGTACGCAGAGATCCTGAAACCTTCTTTTGATACATTCAACTCCAATCCGAATCTTAGTGGTGCTAGATCCTGTCCACACCATTGTACTGTTGCATGGATTTTCTCAATGCTGTCAGAACTGAGAATCTTTACCCAACTGTATCTTGAGCCTCTTTATCGGCCCCTGAAAAAGCTAAATTCCCCCAATTTTCATACAACTGCACTTCCAAAAGCTAAACTGTCTAGTCTTTTCTCCTTTCCACCAACCTATTCCTTCCTTTCCTCACAATATTTCTGCAACATCTGACAAGCTTAACTGCATTCCCACCTCCATCTTCAATGTCCTGGTTCTAGTCCCAAATAAAACAATTACCCTTTCTCACCTCTCTGGTACAGCCCTCATATCCACTACCCTTATTGCAAAGAATGCAAACTTGAACAGATTTGGTGGCCAGCTACCATAAATGTCATGAGTCAACTTTTGAAACCCCCAAAAAATCCTTCCAAACAAAAAACAGGGTTGACTTATCGGGATAGTAGGAACTGCAGATGCTGGTGAATCTGAGATAACAAGGTGTAGAGCTGGATGAACACAGCAGGC